TCGGGGTATTCTCAAACTTCTTATGAAATTCAATTCTTTTCTAAACTTAGTCCATGTCTCAATCAGTGATTCATCCATCGGATCATCCCAATGTAATCCCGTTATCCACAACCTTTGAACCATTATTTTTCCTGTTACAAGGACAGGTGCCAACCATCCCAAGGGATCATATAACTTGGCGATAAAGGAAAGCATTTCGCGTTTGGTAGTCACCGATGTCTTTTCCAACGACTGAACGTCATATACGAAACAGTCTTCACTTTGGATCCATCCCAAACCCAATGTCCTTATAACCTTGGATTGTTCAAACATAATCTTTTGTGCGCAATGTTCTTTCGCAATGTTGCCCAAAATCGTCGGATCATTTGATGACCACTTCTTCAAGGTGAATCCTCCACATCTAAGCAACTCGATGAGTTCATCACGCAACGCCATTCCATCTCTTAGATCATCTGCACCGGTAATAATGTCATCTACATAAGTATCCTCTTTGATTGCTCTAGAGGCTCTAGGATACTTAGCCCCTTCATCCTCTACCAATTTTAATAGGGTTCTCATTGCTAAAAAGGGTGCTGCAGCAGTGCCATAGGTAACAGTGTTAAGTCTATAAGCTATCAATTTATCTTGCGATCTTCTCCTCCAAATAATTCTCTGCCTTTCTGCATCGCTAGGACGTACCAAAATTTGTCGATACATCTTTTCTATATCTGACATAATGAAGATTCTGTGTTTTCGACAATTCATCAGGATAGACAATATATCTCTCTGTAGTTTTGGACCAACGTAAAGTATATCATTAAATGAAAATCCATTTTTTGTTTTAGCAGATGCGTCAAAAACCACTCTAAATTTCCTTCTATCAGGTTGGCCTCCAAGGACTGCATGATGAGGGAGGTAACAATGTTCCGCCTGATCACCAACTGGGATCTCGGTCAGCTGGGTCATGTGTCCCAATCCTTCGTACTCTTCCATAAACTTATAATAATCCCTTCCCAGCTGATCATTCAGAGCTAGGCGCCTTTCCAGGGCCATCTGCCGTTTGACACATAAGTCCAAGGAGTTTCCGAAACAATCCTGCATTCCAACCCGTGGATCAAAGGGCAAGGGAACTATATATCTTCCATTGGTGTCTCGTCGAACACTCCTTTTGTATAGGTCCTCACAAAACTCATCTTGGGGAGTTATCTTGTTGGCAACCTGAACCTCCTCAACCTCCCAGAATCTCTTTAAGATAGTCTCCAAATTATCCTCGTACTGCACACGGGTAGTAAATACCTGCGTGTTGCCGACATCGCCTCCTGATAATCCTCCTGATATAATCCATCCTAATTTGGTATTTTGTGCACACAGCTGGGTCTTGTCATCTCTTCGGATTTCAGGCAGCAACAGCAGTCCGTATACATCAGCTCCCAGAATGATATCAATTCTCCCGCTCTTCGTAAACTGGGGATCCGCTAGTTGTATATCTCTAAACTTCTCGGTTATTGGCAGGCGAAGGTCCTTACTTGGCAACAGTCCTGTCATTTTATTCACCACCAAGGCCTGCAATGGCAACTCCCAATTTTGATTTCCTATAGGCTTGATGGCAAAATGGGCAAGGTCTTTAACTTCCTCTCCCTTGGTTGCATTGATTCCATATATCTGGGCGTCAACCCTGGAAACCGGGATATTCAGACCCTGGAGCACGTCCCGATGAATAAAGGAAGACTGCGAACCCTGATCCAGCAAGGCTCTAACCACCTTTTCTTCATTCCGATGATTTACCAGCCGTACTAAAGCCGTGGCCAAAAGCGCCGTTGGCACTGCTGTTCTTACATGCATGCCAGCGAATGACACATCAGGCTTTTATGTATTGGATTCAGTCTTCGGGTGGATGTTCTCTTTAGTGCTCGATGGTCCCCGATTTGACATCAAACACTCCCCGAGATGCAGCAAGGTATTGTGTGATTTCTTGCATATCCCGCATTCTGCATCTCTCCAGCATTGGCAGGCGTGATGACCCACTCGAAAACATTTGAAGCAAGCCCTATGCCTCATCAACACTCCTCTTTTCTCCTGGGCAGAGATGGCCAACCATTTTTGACAGTACGTCAACCAGTGGTCGCCTCGACAAAACAGACATGCCTTCATGTTTCTCTCTCCTGGCTTGTTGACCTCAGCCACATGAAGCCTGGTTGTATTTGGCCTTACACTTCTGGAATTCGAGGATTCCCCTATTCCAGACCGTACATAGGCCAGACGCTTTTCGCCTTTTACCTCTCGTCTTAAGAACTTTAACAACGAGCCGAGCCGCCCGTCAACAGGTTGAGGCGTATCTTCATCTTCATCACTATATCCCGAAAGGGCACTACGCTGCCACACCGTAAGTAACTCCTCCGGCAGACTTGACTCGACAAGCGGGTACAAGAACGCCGCATTTTGTTCGGTAGTGATCCCAAGGGATTCCAACGATCTTAAATAGGACTCTAATTTGTCATAGAGATCCTCAATGCCTATGGTCTTTCTCCGGGCGTTATTCACCACCAATCCCAAGAGTTGTCTCACGTATACCTCTGTGAGAATCACTCTGTCTCCGAAGCGGTCTTTCAACGCCGAAATGGCCTTTGGATAGTTGTCTGCGGTGGTGGGATAACTCTTCACTAGCCTTGAGGCTCTTGTGTTTTCCTTCATAGATTGCACCAAATACTGGAATTTATCTACATTGGAGAGTATAGAATCCTCATGTATCGTGGAAAATTGGGCCCACCAGCCCAACCACTCCAGCCAGGTTCCATCGAATTTTTTCAATTCTAATTTGGGCAATCGGCAACCTCTTGTTCCAGGCAGCGAGCCTTTTTCTGAACTATTATCATGGAGGGCATCAGTAGTTTTCATCAGAGAGTCGAGGAAGTAATTAATTCTTATCTCAAGGTCCATCCACTTCTGATCATATTGGATCACCGAGTCCTTCTCCTCATCTAGTACCTTGTCATCATTCTCCTCATCGTCTAGCATCAAATTCCATATCAACTTATCTTCATCTTGAAGATTTGCCATATGCTTTTCGATGAGTTTATAATTCATTCTTATCGTATTTTCAGAAGGAGTTTCCTCATCCAACTCCGCTTCTACCTTTTTAATCAACTTGGAAATAGTCGTTCTTTGAACGGCTCTACTTCTTATTGCCCGTTTCATGGCCTAGACTTGCCCTTTTGTTCTCTTAACTTAAATTATTGCTTGACGCTCTATACCTCGGCCTTTTTCTTTTATCCAATTTGCAAAACTTTCCTAAAACCTTTTTTGCATAACTTTTTGCAAAAACTTTATTTGCATAAATTCTTCTTTTTTCTATGATTTGCCTAAATTTGCATAGGCCTTCTTTTCTTGATTTTCATCAACAAATTGACTTTAGGATTTTTAACTTTAAACTTTAATCAAGAGTGATTTCTACTAAATCTTGTAACCTTATCCGGATGTAGAGGGACCAAAATGTTCGCCAATCTTCTTTCTTTGGCTGGTTCTTCTTTATTCACCTTTTCTCCAGAGGTATAGTCAACGCCAAGATCTTGCTCTAACTAACGCGGGCTCTTCGAGCTCTAACCTACGGTGAAAGCACGAGTCTTACAAAGGCTCCACTTATAACACACACTTTATTCTCAAGCACACTATTTATACAATAAAATCATACACACGTGACCAGTCACTCGTGGTCAAATGTAATAAAGACATATATATACAGAGTAACAATCAAATAATAAAATAACAAAACAATCCCTAACAGCCGCATTATATTGTACAACCAATACCTCGCTTTGCGTTTTTTTTTTTTCGAAGTTGCGTCGCTGCTTAATTTTTACTGATTTTCACTTTGCGTCGTTAGATTTTCGAAGTTACGTTGTTTTGGATTCGAAGTCTTTAATTTTTTTTTTCCTAAAATATGGCAACATTTTTGTTTTTGAGTGCGCCAATTTATTTTCACTTTGCGTCGTTTCAATTTGCGTCGTGTTTTTTTGGAACGTACCCGACGCAAAGCGAGGTATGGGTGTATTATAATATCTATATCTAGATAAAAATCAATGTTTGTATGTTTGTTTGTTTGTATGTCAGGTATACAAATTCGCAGTAGTTCACTAATTCAAACCAAAATTTCCATACATAGGTAAAAAAATACGGGGAAGACGATAGGCTATTTTCAAAAATATATAAATCAATTATTAAAATTATATATTCAAATTATTCTACTTAGCTCACGAACAGCGCCCTCTATCAAAGATTAGATTAAATTATGCTGATGCAAACAAATAGATAATGCTAATAACAAATAATTATTTAAAAAATCTTATCTAAATATATATCACTCGGGTAGATATGCACACGGGTCAATCCCGGGGCGAAGCCCGGGTCAACCGTCTAGTAATAAATATAATAAAAATGATTAATAATTATTATACCAAGCTTAAAATACAGATCCTGTTCCAACTTTATTAGGTACCTCTCAAAAAGAGCAACCTAGCTTATGTTATTTACAATGGAAAATATGAACAGGTTCTTTACAGAAAAAAAAGAGTGTCCAATACGGGATTCAATCCCGGTTCATGGCTGTCGGGAATCGAGGGTCTTAACCACTCGTCCACCGACTCTTCTAGTCACCCGTCTAGTACAAGATATAAATAGTAGTTAAAGGATTCATTTCGTTACACACTCCTGTTGAAGATAATATCCGAAAGCTGATAGATCATTTAAATAAAACAAGAAACATATCTTCGGTGTGTTGTTACAAAACAACTTTGTAATTGGGTGTAGACTAACCACTGATGAACCAGGCCCTCTCATTAATTTTTCCATTGCAGTAAGGGCAGTAGAAATTGTTTAATATATCAAAAAGAATCTTTAAAATAGTTTCGAATTTTGATAACAGATGGCGCGCTAGTGCATCATAACCTTAACACCTCCATAGTAATGATAATAGAGAGAGAAAATATTTCTATTTACGGGGCTGCTAACCAAAATAAAAAGGCAATAGCCTACAGCACCCGGTGTTCCCAGGTGGTCACCCTCCCAAGTACTGACCGGGCCCGACATTGCTTAACTTCGGTGAGTAATGATAATAGATTCCACAATCACAATATATATATGATAATCATTATCTTCTTCTTCTTTCTTATCTCCACTCAATCATATTAGGGTATCAAGCTTGTAAAGCTTGAGACTTGACAACCATCATAACTGGGTGAAGTAGAATGTGTCTGCCTTTGTCATTAAGACTGGGAGCACTACTCAGTGGCAGGCCACTGACTTAGCTCCAAAAGAAATGGTCGCCTCTGATATGAGGAACAGACACCATGTACAGCCGCTCCTAACATGGAGTACAAACGCTGCTCATCCTGTATCCCTGGAGCCCTTACAGGGTACTATCAGCCGGGCCAGCTGAGTCCAGTTTTTTTTAGTGAGCTTGTTACTGCTCCCCCTCCTCCTTTTTTACCCGGGCTTGGGACCGGCGCAGGTGAAGTTATCATTATCTTTCAGGGTGGAAACACTTCTGGCCTAACATCCTGTCAAAATGTCATCCGGATATATTGCGGAAGTCTTTATACGGAACAAACACACTTCCATCAATTATTTTATTATATACGAAAAAAAAAACGAGCTTTCGGAGGAGTCTCTTTAATCTGAAGCTAAGAAAATAACAGGACATTATTGGGTAGCTATTAACTTGTGAGACATAAAAATTTAGCCGAGAATTTAGTTCATTGACAATTTCGGGAGAAAACCCTACGAAAGGCTTGTCTTGAAAAGGAAGATCTGATTGTACAGGAAAACACGAATTATTCCAGACCAATCTGTTTATGACCTCATTTGTTTTAATTAGGTTTTTATTGTATATATAAATTTCACTATTAATATTAGGGGGGTCGGTGGACCGCTACGACCCGGGTTCGATTCCCGCATTGGACACTTTTTTCGTATTAAAAATAAAAAAATGTTCCAATGACCCCCCGAATCTTGCAAAAATCAAAATCCACCAGCGAGTGAAGGTAACCAAACGGGGCTCTGGCACATTTGTAAGTACAAAGTCGAACTGCTTTTCACATGTGTAGACATGTGGTACACTTAGAGTAAAAGCAGTCGCCTACTTCTACCCACCATGATTATCATGGCCTGTACCACGTGTACTAGGGATAAGAAAAAAAAACTATTAATATTCCACTATTAATTTATTATTAATATTAAATAAATGATTATAGCTTTTTTTTCACTCGCAGAGACTCCAAGGTAAATCTAGATATAAGAAATTTATTTTCTTCCAATTTACCAAGATTAATCTATTTATTAACTTGATTGTCTTAATTAAGTTTTCCTTTGTATATAAATTTCATATTACCTTTATGTATTGTAAAGATAAGAGGTTGCCTGGCCGGCATTCATATTTATATATAAAAAATAGACACTTCGACCAGTTGGAAAAAAAAATCACGTGAGAACGCCCTTGCAAACTCAGAACAATTTTTAACGCCTTGCCAAATACTTTATTTTTATTTACTTCTCCTGACAAAGACAAAATATTTTTGTCGAAACGTTTAGAAAATAAAAAACTCCAACTGGCCGAAGTGTCTATTTTTTATATAAATACCTTTATGTAATTATCTTTAAAAAATAATAATAATAACCAATGCTTATTACTGTGGTACTATTACTGTTATTCCTGTATGTATCTTACATTTCTACTCCGAGAATCTGTATAAGAATGAAAGGTCTTAATAAAGATTTTTGTTGTTGTTGATAGAACAGGAATACTGTGCCAGATACCAACCTATGGATGGTTGGGGAGAAATGGATTAAAAAAAACGAGGAGGAGGGTACTGTAAACCTATTTGTTTGTTTGTAGTGAAAGACAGGAAAGTAAACCAAGTCTTATTTGCTGGTCCAATTGTTACTAGACCAGTGGGTGACAAGAAGGAAACATTTTCTTACCTATTTTTATTATTTGTGGAAGATTGCGTGGGAAAAGTATGTATCGATAGCCCCAAAAAAACTAAGATTAATAAAGAGAGCAGAGTGATAAAAAAATGATGACAAAGACTATCTTATGATCATTAAACATTGAAAAGTTGGCTAGCACCATCTATCAGAATAAACTACAGTCGATTCGATGTATCACACAAAGAAAAGGGATTGTAATTTCAAACGCCATCTATCGGTAGATTTCTTAAGCTTTTTTCCCCAAGAAATCCCTAAATACTTTCGTCCAAATTTTTATAATACTCAATTTGTTACAAACCACGGAAATTTCAAAAGTTTTTTAAATAGAATAAAGGCAGTGGAGGATTCAAGTTGCTTTTGTGGTATTGAGGAACAAACCTCAAGACATCTACCGATCGATTTCCCCCCAGAATTTCAAGATTATAGAATGAAGAATGAACTAGTTGTTTGTGAACTTAACGATTTGATTTCCGATAAAAAAATCATATTTAAATTTCAATTCATTTTGAAAATATATTCTAAACTTTCTACAAAATCTGGATCTCTAATGTTTTCATGCGTTGAATAATGTAAATAAACTTTTCTCCTTGTTTGGCGCAAGTATCCCTTGCGGGATATAGCGCTTTGGAAATAAAATAATTGATAATCGGTAGTTATTACAATTTTTTTTTTTTTTTGAATATGTTTTCTAATACAGTAGAACCTCCATGAAAGGACACTTGCGCTAGAGAGGACACCTCTCTACATAGGACAGTTTACATTTGCAAAATTACCATTTTTACTATTTACCAACTCTACGGTAAGAAGACACCTCTCTCTAAAGGACACTATGACTCTACAATTAGGTGTTCTTTACAGGGAGGTTTTACTGTAATGTCAAATATTATCTCTGCAGACCTTACTGTAATGATAGAAATTACTAGATGTAGTGAAAAGCAACACAATGCATTAGTTTTTCACAAATTCTGGAAAACAGAACTGACAATAGGCACAATACAGATGATGGATCCAACTTAAAGAGAAAGGTCGATCTTAATATCCACTTTCTGTAGATAACTGCTATATAATACACTGCGGCCTGTGATTGTAAAACGACACTTGAAGTTACACCACATGAGTTTCTTTTTGAACGAAAAATCAAATCTTTATTTCAAGGTAAAATATCGACCATTTTAAACCTTTTTGGATGAGGTATGAAAGGGTGAATTATGAAGAGTAATGACGAACGGAAAAATAATCCCATCCCTGGACACTTTTATTTTTCTGTTCGTTATTACTCTTCATAATTCACCCTTTCATACCTCATCCAAAAAGGTTTAAAATGGTCGATATTTTACCTTGAAATAAAGATTTGATTTTTCGTTCAAAAAGAAACTCATGCGGTGTAACTTCAAGTGTCGTTTTACAGATAACTGCTATGTTTACTTCTGTATCTAAGAGAATCCTGTATGGGCCACATGTCCTTAATAAAAGCTTCTTGTTGTTGTTGTTGAAATTACGAGGGAGTTTTAGTAAATAATCCAATACAATAGTAGAACATCGTGAAGATAGAAGTTGCCTGGCCAGCATTCATATTTATATAAAAAATAGACACTTCGGCCAGTTAGAGTTTTTTTTTTTTTTTCTCAACGTTTCGACAAAAATCTTATTTATAGAACAATTTTTAACGCCTTGCCAAATGCTTTATTTTTATTTACTTCTCCTGACGAAGACAAAAGATTTTTCTCGAAACGTTGAGAAAAATAAAAAAAACTCTAACTGGCCGAAGTGTCTATTTTTCATAGAAATAGTAGAACAGTTTGAGACAATAATTTGGCGAAACAGCTGAGAGGGTTAAGTACTGATGAGCCAAGCCCTCTCATCTAATCATTTTCTATCATTGCAGTAAGGTTTATAGATATAATGTTTGCTAATATATACATCATAAGAAACATATTGCCAAAAATAATTGCAAAATATATCGAAGGAATTAAAAAACAAATTCTACAGGTGCAGAATGTGCACTTTTGGATGTATTGACAAGATAAAGTACACCTATACCTCGCTTTGCGTCGGAGTTACGTTCCAAAAAACACGACGCAAATTGAAAATATGTGAAGCGCAATCAAAAACAAAGGTGTTGCCATATTTTTAGGGAAAAAAAAATAATAAAAAAAAAAATTAAAGACTCGAATTTAAACAACGCAACTTCGAAAATCTAACGACGCACAGTGAAAATCAGTAAAATTAAGCATCGACCCAACTTCGTAAAAACGCAAAACGAAACGACGCAAAGCGAGGTATTGGTGTAATGTTAATTGTCGAGGTAGTGAAGAGATAAAGGGAACAAGTAAAAACATTACTCACGTGGCATATGAAAAGAAATTAATTGCTAAGGAACAATTAAATAGCTATTTATTACTGTATTTAGTTTTTAAATATAATTAAAATATAAAATTCACTATCGTCTT